TTGCTGACCGTATAGTAAGAACGAAACAGCACCCATGGATTTGTACACCATCAGCTTCGTGCAAATGGTAAGCTGATGGTTGTTCCACACTCGGTACTCAAGCTTTCCGAATGCCGCCGCTGCCTTGTTGCCAATATATATAGATATAAATATATATATATATATATAATATATAGTATATATATATCCCGTCTTCCACCTTTGATCTCAGGGAATAAGGTAGGGTACGTGGCTTGAAAAGCGGGGCTGTTCCCGGCCGTAATTTGCTACTAGCGTGATATCCGTGCAATTTTCCTAGTTTCTCATCAAAAACGTCAGGAAATTTCTTGAGCACATTCTCCAAGCGCTGGTTAATGGACATAAACTTCACTGTCTTTAGCGTAACCGGAAGGCATTTAATCCAGTCTCACCGGAGTAGGTTTGGACAATCATTCGCCACAACATATGTCTGTAAGGTTTACTCCCCATGTTAATTTACATGAACAGTGCATTTTCCCAGGACTGGTATCGGCTGCCCGGTATACGTCGGAAAAGTTGATTCACAGGGGGATAACTTGGGTAAGCTTTTAACTGATGCCACACTGTTTATGGTAACTGAGGCACCGGTATCAACTTATGTTTTAACCAACTGGCCTATTTTCAATTGCACAGTGTATGGTAGCTGAATGCTACAGAGTCTGGGACCGCCTGCAGTCAGAATCGTGTTTAGCTGGTTTTCTTCGTCTGAAGACGGGACGAACTTCACGGGCCTCTTGGGAAAATGTGATCTCGCGGCTGTGCAAGTTTTGATGGGCAAACACAAGCCTGTCCTAATTTTCCACATTGGCGGTAGTTACTCTGTTGATGACGACATTCCTCGGCTGATAAATGCTGACTTCCCCATCAGTACCAGGTAAAAGGCAATTTGGACCGTCTTGGGGTAACATCTTTTCGGGCGACTGCTTGGATTGTGTCTGTGTGAGGTTCAGAGGAAAAGGCTGCTAACTGTTTATGGACATTCTTCAGTAATTGAACAATATTTCAGGCATCTCAGCTCATCGTCGTCTCATCTTCCAACAACAACCTTTTACAATCCTGTCCGTTACGGATACCGGGTATCATGCACTGTAAAGCCGTCGCCTCTTCAAACATCGTAACTAGGATTTTACTCTACCGGCACTCTGGTGGGGCTTGCTGAATCTGCGCAATGAACTCAATGACACTTTCTTTAGGGTTTTGACGCAAGGTCGAGTAAGAATACCGCGCAGTGTATGTGTTCAGTAGTGAACCTTATAACCAGCTGAGGACTTCTAGCGCACTGTTGACTGTCTTCTCACCGACATGGAAGGCATCAAAATGTCTTGAGCCTTCATCCCCCAGAAATTGTTTCAATAATTTACTTTTGTGGCTCTCTGAGAGTACCGTGTTTGGTTATAAGACGGGTAGTGGCTCTAAATAATCCAAAAGTTGCGCTTCCATCGGTTCCAGGTAGCCGGTGTTAGTTTCCCAGAAGAAATATTCCAAAGGAGTATAGGAAGGTGCAACATCGCAATAGTTTAACCTCGTCGCCAGAATGTTAATTGTGGCCCCTAGCCGATGAACGGAACAGAACGCGTACGCGTAGTATGGAACCGATTTTCCAAAAGCTTCCTGCGTTACAGTGGCTAGAAAAGCCGGAAAGAAAAAGCAATGAAATAAGGAAAGTAAGACAAGGGCATTGTCAACCAATCATGTGAGTGCCTGTTTTCACAAATCGATACTCAAGTGCATACGTGACAAGGGAGTCGACCTCATTGGTCCACTACCGGAGACACCGCGAGGGTATCGATGCATTCTAATCATGGTAAACTACTTTACCAAATAGTGTGAAGCCCTTTCGATTAATCACGCTGACACGGTCACTGTAGCTATAGCGATGGTGAATCATTGGGTTTGACAATGGGGAGCTCCAGGACAACTACATTCTGATAGAGAATCTTGTTTTGAAATTTCGTTGATTCAAGAAATTTGTCCGGTGTTCGGTATAGATAGGACCCGAACAACGGCTTATCACTCTCAAGGCAACAGACAGGTGTTACGTACTAATCAATCGCTAAAGTCGCTGCTGATGGCTTTCGTGGATCAGAATGTTCGTGAGTGGGACGCTTTGTTGCCTAAATGTTTTCTAGCTTATCAAAGTACGGTTCACAGCTCCACAGGGCAAACCCCACTTTTTATGGACAGGAAGAGAAGTTCGGTCGCATACAGACGCCCGGTTGCCTGTGTCACAGGTGTACCCGTCCGTTACAAATTGTGTTAGTAGGCTGCTCGATTCTGTTCGAAAAACGCGCCAAGCTGTGCATATTCATTTGGCGAATGCGCAACGACGACAGAAGGATCACTACAACAAGAAAGTTTTTGCTACTCCATCGAAGACAAAGGAGCTAGTATATTTGCGCCAGGTACCAACTGCGGGGACGCCAGCGAAGCTGCATCATGAATGGGCAGGCCCTTATGTTGTGCAGCGGGTAATATCTGATCTTACTTGTGTGATTAAAGATCCAAACAACCCCATCGGGCAACCCATGGTCGTACACTTTAATCGGCTTAATGCATTTCGGAATGAGGAGCAGACAATGAACCACCGACGGAGGAAGCGATCGAACTGGAAGTGCTGATTGAAAGAGGCTGCAGTGTGGCAACCGGACGTCGCCTATTTAGAGGGGGTCGGTGTAACAAAAGCTGGATATTGTTGCTGGCGCGTGTTCAAATTTGAGTCGTCGCCTCGACACCACCTTCCCGTTTGCCTTTCAGGGCGTCCTACTTGTTCAATTACACAGGAAGGATAAGAACCGAAAAAGGACATTTAACTGTACTTTTTCTCCGTTCCTTTTATGATTACGCTGTGTTGGTCTCTCGCATCTTCCAATCTCGGATATTACTTCTTGATAGTTTGCCGATTAACAAACTTCTACGCTATACCGTTTTGCCACGCCGCCGCACGTCTCCCAATTTTTACCCTTTCCCATTATGATTGCAAATCTATTCGTAAATAGATTACTCTGCTTAACGGTAACGAATTTACCTTTTAATTTCTCTGAACAGATCGTGCCTATAGTATAAGTTTACTAGCCTACAGTTTCCTTGTCCCATCTCTTGCGATTACCTAGTCTAGGCTTCGTAGAGTCTACAAACATATGTCGATACGCAGTACTGACGTTTCGCTGCCGCGCAGTCACCACCACTCATACGTGGGCTTAAGATACCGCAAGGGTCGCCCGGTCCCTACCCAGGTTCGGACCTGCTCCCTAGGGTTACAAGGCAGACTTGCGATTCTTAAGGAAACGCAGTACCTTTGGTTCCCTCACTCCTCTTATATCTCTTGTGGTATATGGTCAATCTTGAGGCTGTCTGAAGCCTACATCCTTGATTCATGGAAACGTGCACTCTTCTAGTTCTCTTCGTTGATCTTTTTCTACATCGTTTGCTGATCCTCATTCAGGCATTCACAAGGGCTGTAAAAAATCAAGTAGATGACAGTACGGTATATCACGTCACTCTTTCGCCTGCTGAACGAACGAATAGTAACTCGCGATCGCATTGATATTGTAGGTGACACATTACTTGCGAACACACTTTAAGGGATGTCTCAACTGGCCCGGCCAATTTACGCATGATCTTCACGCCGTTTTTTGTTCCGAAATATATTTCTAGCTGGAGGCAGGGATTCATATGTTTGGCTTACAGACTTGTGGTCAGTGTTGATGAGCGAATTACTACAAAACGTGGGTTCTTTGCTACGCCTGAATTATCTGAGTGTACTAGACCGGAGTTCAGCACGGGTGGCTGACCGCCACACAACTGTGTTCATACACTGGCCATGCTTGACAATAAAAACAGCGTGTAAGGTTTTTGAAGCACTATGCACGTGCAATTGGCTTACATGTTTGCACTTTGAAAATACAACTTGCCTGCACTATGTGGTTGTTTCCGTCATTTTTTATGGCGCTCGGCGTTCAAATAACCCTTGCTTAGCCCTATTAAACTGGGATGTTCATGTTTTCTGCATCAACGGTTTTTTCGACGACAACTGTATCAAACAGACTGTGGGAGGCGTCAGTGTGCAGCTTTTATGCAATGTGTAGATGTGGCCATATCGTTGAAGTGACAGCTTATTTGGACATATTTTTTGGACATCTTTTCATCCAAACGTAATACGACAAGGAGATTTGTTATCTATACCATCTGAGTACTTTGGTGAAGTACAGTTATCCCCTCCCCCCATATTATTGCGATTTCCCCCCTGTACCTGCAAAAAGGTGTGTTCGAGTCGTCCATTTTTATACACTACCCAATACTTCCCTTCCATAGTTACTGTTATGATTATGTTATATATCGATGCGAGATGTTCACCCGTTGAACTTTGGCCCACTGGTGTATCTCTGCTCATTGCGTTCACACGTAATTCCGAACTGTAAGATTTAGCATTTGGCCGCCATTTGCGCTCTTGGCGAAGCCATTACGGTCCGAGAACTAAACATCTTTGCACACGCCTACTTGTGGTCAGCACCAACACTGCAATCAACCATCTCATGTAAGGATCACAGCGATTGTCTTCAAGGAGGAACTTTGAAGCAGCTGGTAAATTAGTGATAAGGTAGCCTAATGGCCACCTTGTGCCGCTTGCTCCTCGAACTTCCAATTCCAAGTACCGTTTCTGGGCGGATAAAAGTCCCTTCTTGTGCGATTTGGTGTGTATTTGTGTACCATACGGTTGCATGCATCTCGGTAACACTTCTGTTGTGTCTACAACTTCCAATTAGCAAGAGCTTGCATTCCTGTTCCATTTAAACAACTTTCATCAGTTTCCCGCCTTATGCTTCGGTAGAATAATATGGTATCTATTTCTTCAAAATAGATGGACGTTGCTGTGGTATTGCTTTCTCGCCATCCTTGTTCATTCTCGTTATCACACTTTCTGCTAATTATCAACTCAATTGGTCGGATTTGCACTGTACAAGTCGGCTTACTTGTACTTTTCAGCTTTCATCGGTCGCCTCGTTAGTCCCCTGTGTTTCCATACTCAGAGCTATCTGTCGTCCTATTTTTGGAAGCTTTATACAGAATGAGTTTCTCTACAGTGCTGAGAATAAATGATGTCGATGACTACATTACACCGTCGAAGGTGAGTCCACTTTATCTAGTTATATTGATTTTTAGAGTTGTATCAGACCGGTTAAGATCGATACACGTCATGGTCAGACTAAGTCCATCCGAGTGGAACAAGACGGGACGTATACCGCTCTCACGGAGGTAGGAGCTTCTTGCTTCGTCGATTCTCACCCTAGTTTTGTCTAGGATGGAGGCGCATACACTTTGAAAAAGGCAACAATATCCTTAAACGATTGTCTCGCGTGCAGTGGTTGCGTAACGACAGCGGAAAGCGTTTTGATATCGGAGCATAGTATCCACTCTTTTATTGAATTTGTCCGTCGTAATAGGGTTCAGGTAAGTTTCTGTACTTGCCTCTGTTTTCCTCTCATAGTCTGGATCAGCTTTGCTTTTGGCCGTTTCTCTTTCTCCGCAATCCATTTCAAGTGTGGCTTCGGAATTGTATGATGAAGAACACGTCACACCTGCCTCACAATGGTTTCAACTTTGGCGTCAAGAGCATTTCCCTGATGCCAAATCGCCTGCATTGGATGTTGTTCGCAGATTTTTGATCGATGTCTTCCGTCAATTAGGTGCTCATATTGTTTTGGACACTACGTGGACTCGCGACGTCTGCCTTTACGAGTCTGCTGAAGAGTTCATACAACTTTTCAGAGCCTCAGTTTCTTCAGATCCTCTTCAGAACTTACCCTTATTTTGCAGCGTTTGCCCAGGTTCGTTTTCTACACCGTTCATTACGTCATCTGCATCTTTGTTATCTATATAGACGTGTTATCCATTGACATCTGTCGCACGCTGCTTTCATCTTGTGGTCTGCGGAATTATACACTGCAGTCTCTTATGCATTCCACTCGCTGCTCTTGCGTCCTAGCCTGTTACCGCCACTCATTTATAGGGGCTGTACATGGTTACTCGTTTTCACTCGCACAAGACCGCCTGGGTTGCCCATACACAAGTGCGTGTACCTTCAAATTTAGCCTAAACTGTTCTTCGATGTTTTCTGAAGCTTGTTAAACGTGATACACTTAAAATTCGGTTTTGCAGTTGCTTCGCTCTGATGGCCACTAAATGTCTAAATGTTATTATGTGAACTATCCAGTCTTTCTACCTGACGTGCCATGGAAGTGAATCCAATTTTTAGCGAAAATGCTATCGTTCACATGTCTCTGCAATCTATCGAAATGTGCCCGGAGACATTTTATAAGTGGTTTAGAACGAATCCCACCAAGCAAGTCAATAGGTAGGATCGCCATCAGTGCCCTTCTCATAGCTCATAGGCGGGCGTCATTTGCCTTTTTCACGACAACATCTGCTGCAGTACTAATCGGAGTTATCAAATAAATACATCCACACAACGGGTACTTCAAATGACTCCCCAGTCAGTCATTAACCGTTTTACCAAGCGTTATCCGTCATGACTGGGTAGCCAAAGGGGTAGAGGTTTTGGCTAGGATTCCAGTGGTTCCGGGTTTAAAACCTGCTACCTCAACCTGGTGCCATCAAACGAGGTCGAAACGCGTCGTGATGTGTAGTGTTTTCGAGCAAGCAACAAGCAGTTTCCATTTAATCCGGAAACTGCTTGCTTTCGCTGCACTGCCACTCACCCATTCAATTTACGTTCGTCTATTCGATACACTTCTTGTGACCACATTGACAGCTTGCCAAACCGGATCAGCTGATACCGTTCACATAGCTGCGTGTGCTGTAGCCTCAAGTGCGCGACGTCGATACATTTGATTCGATCGGTAAGTATCGTTTACATAACCATCTTTGTTGTTCTCAGCGCAACAATCCTTCCTCGTACACCTGGGCAACAACGCTAACTCTGCTGCAAAGTCGACATATGGAATTCAGATCTTCCTTATCTTTCGCTCTTGTTCCTACTGGAATTGGCCAACAATCTCGGTAATGGGTTTTATATCTTCAATCCTGTACTAGGAAGTTCCCACGCTTTCCTCGCTTGCGTTGATTTTTAAAGGACAGCCTGATTTTGCTAGATGGGGCCAATTTTTTCATCGAACAGGCTAATTGAAACATGAGTGATCTTTTCGAGTTGCCGTCAAACTACATTACTCTGAATTCTACCAGGAGCTATTTTGAACTTATTGTTTCAATTTTGCATCACAAGTAACCAATACCATATCGTTCATTCAACGAACATATTGTCCGAACACCGTGGTGCAGCGAATCCGTCTGCCACATACATCTATTCAGTACTTGATTTCAGTAGTGTAAGAATTTGCCGCCACCCAATGGACATGAATCTGACCTTATTACTTGGTAGCTTCATGCGACAGCCACTTCCATAGCTGCGCATCATCTAATATGCTGTGTGATGATGCTTAGGAATCGCTTCTCACTTTATAATCTCAAAGCGGATCACAGCTACTCCTCACTTTGCTAGAAGCCTTTTGCTTTTCACAACATACAGACTTATACAGCTAGTCGTTATGCAAGCGTTGTTGGATAGACCGATGCGCAACACTGCGTGCCCCGGTGCGGGTTTTAGAACTTCAAAGCGCAAAGTGTTACTGCAGAACTGGGCCGACGCGCCACCGTTTTCAGTGGCCATCCAATAGCCACTACAAGTGATTGATCGATTTATTTACCTTGGTGGTTGCTTCTCTTTGGACAGTCTCATCACTGAAGTTACTTCTCTTAACAGCCTAGCCCACCTGACTTATTATTGACTCGATCATCTCTTGTGACGACGAGATATCAGCCTTTCAGTCAAAGGTAGTGTGTACAAAGCTGCCGCAAGGCGGATTGTACCGGAAATATGGCCACTTCACGCTGGAGACATTACTAGATTGACTGTCCTTGATCACTGATATTTGCATAGTAATGCTCACATCTGATGGGAATACCGGGTAAGCAGTACTGAATTTTACCAGTTGGTGTATAAAAAACCCCTGGTGCTTCACTGGATTGTCTGTTAAAGTTGAATCAGTTGCGTTAGTTAAGTCATGTCCCTCCGTAGACCCTTTGTCTGGCTTATACGACATAGATTCTATGCTATCGCTGCACCAAGTTGAACGAAACCGCGAGGTGGCCAGCCGAAGACGTGACATAAAGGCATGAGAAACTTGACCCAGATACTTGACCCAAGCTGTGTGTGCCCTCTTCGTGGGCCACCTCGGGGGTTCGAAACTTTGCCTGGCATTGCGCAGCACTGGAGTCAGTAGCGTTCCTTGATTCGCTGTCATCTAGCTGTCACTGGATTGCCGCTCGTACTGAAGTACCTGTGTCGACTCTGATCATGTCCTGGTACGTTGTCGTTTCTCCATGAACTTTACCGGGAGGCGCACAAAGCGTCCCATACGATTGGCAACGGAGCACTTATCTCAGTCCTCGTTCAGGCAAGCCTACCAAGACCCACTGCATACTGAACTTCCGCAGTCTTGTCCTACTAACGCTGAGCTTCAGTGGAATAGGATCTCAGCCGCTATGCACGACGCAGGAGCATCTGCTTGTAGCACTATCAATCGTCACCGCACCAGTCACTGGATATCCGAGAGGTCGGTGGACCTATTGGAATCTAGAAGACACCTCCCGGTTGATACTGAACACAATGTGACCAGACGGGCTATTAGGCGTGAACTAAAGAAGAGCCTACGTGCTGATAAAGAAGCCTGGTGGACCAGTCGGGCTCAAGAAATGGAGGAGGCAGGAGCAGTAGGCAATTACCGGAAGCTCTTCCAGCTTATCTGCACCACTGGTCCCAGAAAACCAGGCGTCAGTGAGACAATCAGAGACAGCGCGAGTGCAATGATACACAATAAGGGGCGCCGTGTGGCTCGTTGGGTGGAACACTTTCAAGATCAGTTCAGCTGGCCTCCTGCTCCCGGACCTCTTCCTACTCAGGTGATGCAGGACGAGCCATGGACGGTTAGTTTAGAGCCTCCGTCAGAGGCCGAGGTCCGAAACGCGATTACAGCCCTCAATCGTTTTCGTGTCGCTGGCCCGGATTCCCTCCCACCTGAACTATTGAAGGATGGAGATGAGGTCCTCTGCAAAGCACTAACCTCCTTATTTGAATGTATCTGGAACGAAGAGAGCGTCCCGGCTAATTGGAGCGAATCGATTATAGTGGCAATATACAAGAAGGGCAGTCGCACAGACTGTTCTGACCACAGGGGTATTAGCCTAATGCCAGTTGCGACAAAATTACTGGCCTCGATTATCGAAATACTTGCACGGAAAGGTGTTCCCACGAAATATGTGAACATCCTTCGTGCTCTATACTCGAACACTACAGGCCGCGTCAGGGTCTATGGTGTTCAATCGGATAGCTTTCTGACTACAAGTGGCGTTCGTCAGGGTTGTCGGATTTCCCCGTTTTTGTTCAGTTTCGTCGTGGATTCTATCATGGAGTGTTCCTTGACGGAATCCAACGATGTAGGCGTTTAAGTGCTGGCTGGTGGACGGTTAGTTGATCTAGATTATGCGGACGATATAATCTTGCATTTCCACGATGTTGGGGCGGCCCAATCAACCCTGAATAGCCTATTCAGAGTGGTCCCATTATTTGATATGCACTTTGCACCTTCAAAGTGCAAAGTGTTGCTGCAGGACCACCAGCCACTTGATGACCGCTTGACGCTTTCTAACGAGGAACTCGAAGTGGTTGATCATTTCACTTATCTTGGCTGCTGCATCAGCAATGATGGGTGCATAGAAACTGACGTGAGCTCACGCATTGCAAAGGCCAGAGCTGCCTTCTTGAACCTGCGACATCTTTGGCGACAGAAGGGAGTTTCCCTCCGTCTGAAAGGCCGTGTATACAAGGCCACAGTGAGGGCCGTTCTGCTCTATGGTAGTGAAACTTGGCCCCTTCGGTCTGAAGATCTGAGGCTCCTTCAAGTCTTTGATCATCGTTGTTTGCGAAGCATTGCTGGAGTCGGATGGCACCAGCGTGTCCGCAACGATGATGTTCGTAGGCGAGTACTAGGTAGTGATAATCATGCTAGCACCCTAGAACAACAGATAGCACTGAATAAGTTGCGTTGGCTCGGGCACGTGCTACGCATGCCTGGTCACCGTTTACCTAGGAGGGCCTTGTTCAGTCTACCAGGTGTAGGATTGCGCAAAGCTCGAGGTGGACAGAAGTTGACTTGGCAACGGGAAATGAAGACACTGACGACCAAATTGGGTACCGTTGGTCCGTTTCACCTTCCTGGTTGGAGTCCACGTGACTTGCCTTGTGCTTGGTTCGAGACGTTCCAGGACATGGTTCGCAGTAGTCACCAGTGGCGCGTCTGCTGCCGTATGCTATTCGGATTGCCTATTTAAAGTGTGTTCGGTGCTGAGTTATCTGCGGGGTAATGGCTGATTATGACGCGTGACAGTGAAAGCTGCACGGAAGCTGTCTCGCCGGTGCCGCCTTATCTTTGCACGATAGCCAGCTGTTTGTGACGGTATGCAGACTACACAAGGTGTAGGCGACTTGACCCTGAATGTTTGCTTAGGGCATTAAGGTTTTCAGGTAAGCCGCCCTTCTCTCCCTCTTCTTATTATTTCATAGGTCCTCATGGTTGTATGGCAGCGAAGCATCAGTTCAAATGGCTGATGTACTGCTGATGATGATTGTGATGATAATGAGATGTTACTATATCAGAGCAAATGATTATTGGTGGTGGAGATAAACCTCGCTGTTGGAGGAAAACAAAAGTGAATTCCGTATTCACAATGGTTCATTCTTGTTGCTCCCACA